TTTCTACAATTGAACATTGTTGCCAGGGTAACCATGATAACAGATGGGAAGAAGTACGCCAGTTAAGCCTAACAGTAGACAAAGATGTAACTGATACAGTTTACTTGTCATTATAATGTTACCTGCAGAATTAAGCCCCTGTGAGCTGGAACCATCATCATTATTGTTTTAGTTTTGTCTTGGACTTTGTAACATATGCAACAATGGGGAACTTTAAAATGGATTTTGTTGTACCATTATACAAATTTATGTGATTCTAACACATTGAGAAGTTTAGGGCTCTCATCAGCGTGTTCACTAGCAGAAGGCTTTTTTTCTTGAATAGTGGGGACTGAAGAAGTGTTGTAACTTTTCAGTGGATTTCCCACAGCCGTAATTAAGATGTCTTTACATTTGAGAACAGAGAATAAGAATCTGCGTGACTTCCCCCCCCCTAAAGACAGTAGAATTGCTCAGGCATGTTGGTATGACCCAGCCATTATTATTCACTATTGTATATTGGTGAAGTATAATGAAGGACAGAATATTCATTAGATCTTGATCTGATGTGGCGGCTATTAAACACTTGACTTTTGATGAAGTTTACAAATGAAAAATGGTTATTAGATTGGTCCTCTTCAGATGACTTGGCACACAGATTATATTGACGCTTGACACATTCATTTCAGACTGAATCATCTGGATTGAGGCTGATGCAGCCTTTTGAACTCCAACCAGTGCTGGTGCTCCCGCTTTTGCTACAGCAATTTTAACTTATCTCCTTTGATTGGTTGATCCTTTCCTTCGAGGAGCTTAGTTATCTACTATCTCTATAAAAACAAATATAAAACAATGCAGTTTTTGTAAGTTTTTTGTTTGTGTTTTGTATGTTTATGCGTTTTGGGAGTGATCAGCAGGCATACAGGTGCTGGTCATAAAATTAGAATATCATGAAAAAGTAGATTGATTTCAGTAATTCCATTTAAAAAGTGAAACTTGTATATTATATTCATACATTACATACAAACTCATATATTTCAGATGTTTATTTTGTTTAATTTTGATGATTACAAATGACAACAAATGAAAATCTCAAATTCATCAAATCAGAAAATTAGAATATTACTGAAGACCAATAAAAACAAAGGATTTATAGAAATGTTGGCCAACTGAAAAGTATGAACATGAAAAGTATGAGCATGTACAGCACTCAGTATTTAGTTGGGCCTCCTTTGGCCTGTATTACTGCAGCAATGCGGCGTGGCATGGAGTCGATCAGTCTGTGGCACTGCTCAGGTGTTATGATAGCCCAGGTTGCTCTAATAGTGGCTTTTAGCTCTTCTGAATTGTTGGGTCTGGTGTATTGCATCTTCTTCTTCACAATACCCCATAGATTTTCTATGGGGTTAAGGTCAGGAGAGTTTGCTGGCCAATTAAGAACAGGGATACCATGGTCCTTCAACCAGGTACTGGTAGCTTTGGCACTGTGTGCAGGTGCCAAGTCCTGTTGGAAAATGAAATCTGCATCTCCAAAAAGTTGGTCAGCTGCAGGAAGCATGAAGTGCTCTAAAACTTCCTGGTATGTGGCTGCGTTGATCCTGGACCTCAGAAAACACAATGGACCAACACCAGCAGATGACATGGCACCCCAAACCATCACTGACTGTGGAAACTTTACACTGGACTTCAAGCAACGTGGATGAAGTGCCTCTCTTCTTTTCCTCCAGACTCTGGGACCTTGATTTCCAAAGGAAATGCAAAATTTACTTTCATCAGAGAACATGACTTTGGACCACTCACCAGCAGTCCAGTCCTGTTTCTCTTTAGACGCTTCTGACGCTGTCTGTGGTTCAAGAGTGGCTTGACACAAGGAATGCGACAGCAGAAACCCATGTCTTTCATACGTCTGTGTGTGGTGGTTCTTGAAGCACTCACTCCAGCTGCAGTCCACTCTTTGTGAATCTCCCCCACATTTTTGAATGGGTTTTGTTTCACAATCCTCTCCAGGGTGCGGTTATCTCTCTTGCTTGTACACTTTTTTCGACCACATCTTTTCCTTCCCTTCGCCTCTCTATTAATGTGCTTGGACACTGAGCTCTGTGAACAGCCAGCCTCTTTAGCGATGACCTTTTGTGTCTTGCCCTCCTTGTGCAAGGTGTCGATGGTCGTCTTTTGGACAACTGTCAAGTCAGCAGTCTTCCCCATGATTGTGTAGCCTATAGAACTAGACTGAAAGACCATTTAAAGGCTTTTGCAGGTGGTTTGAGTTAATTAGCTGATTAGAGTGTGGCACCAGGGGCCATCAATTTTGAACCTTTTCACAATATTCTAATTTTCTGATATGATGAATTTGAGATTTTCATTTGTTGTCATTTGTAATCATCAAAATTAAACAAAATAAACATCTGAAATATATGAGTTTGTATGTAATGTATGAATATAATATACAAGTTTCACTTTTTAAATGGAATTACTGAAATCAATCTACTTTTTCATGATATTCTAATTTTATGACCAGCACCTGTAGACATTGTATGCACCGTATTAAGACAGCCTGTGTTACCCAATTGGAAACTTGGCAAAACAATGGCGACTAGGGTGCGCTTTACATGCTGTATACACTTTTCCATTGCTATAGCTAAAAGCCTAAAAATTGCATCGGTATCACTAGTATCAGCTTTGTTAAGGCCGTGTTCTCATACATGCATCAACTTGGCAGCAGAATTGGCATGCTGCAGCTCTAGGTCCCACATGTGAACTCCAATGAGGGCTGACTAACCATTATTTTGCAAATCGATTAAGCTGTTGATTCTTTTTTCAATTGAGAATAGGATAGCCAAAGATTAATCTTTAAAAAATATTTCTTACAAAATTAAACTAGGAGAAACTAGAACATTTCCACTGAAGGAGTTCTGGATAGAGCATATTGACAGGAAAAAAAGTTTATTTATTAATTTTTTCCCCCAATTTTTATATAATTACTGCTCTAAGTGGGTTGCTCTGTCAGCTAAAGTCATGTTTTAGACTGTACTCAGTTTAACGGTTAATCTATTACTAAATTAGTCGACTATTATTTCAATCCATTTATCGATTTTATAAATCCAATTGATTGTTTCAGCCCAATGTACTAAACGCTACTCCTATGTTTGTTTGTTTGTTTTTTTTACCCCATGTATACACTGTATCATAGACATGATGATACATATGTATGGCTATTGTTTTTACTCATTGTGTGCATGCAGAATATCATGCATTCAGTCACGCTATCTTGTTTTGGCTGTATGATCTGGTAGGGTTGTCTCTGTAAAGTGCCTGGAGATGACATGTGAACTGGCGCTATATCAGTCATCTGAACTGAATTGAATTGAATTGTTTGGGTGAATATACAAAAATGGGATTTGCTCATTATCAGCAGAAACAAAGTGTATAAAAAACAAAAATAAGATATAAGGCTAACAGGGTGTGATGTTTTAATGAAGAACTTTGTATGCAACTTGAGGGAGCCACTTCCATAGACATGTAGTCACAGTATGTCTAGGCCGCTTTAATGAAAGCCAGGTGTCCACCTGGGCTATTTATTGTTGCGAAGCTCAGTTTTATTCCTCGTCTGCCAAGCTAAATACAACAAACTCAAGACAGTTATTTCTGTGATGTTAAAAAAGGAATATCTGTTCCTGGTGGGCCTCAATAACAACAGAGCATGTAGATGAGGAAGTGGTAGGCTAGCGGTTATAAGATTAGAGCAGGGCGCTGGCATCCTGCAGAGGTTAAATATCCCAGGTTTGAATCCAACAGACTGCCATTCTGGGGTTCCTAAACACGCCCTTAACCTCACAATGCTTCCCAGCCTCCCTGAATAGATGGCTTAAAAGTAAATCTATTTTTGTTTATTATTTTGTAAGTGTTATTATTAATGTTAGAGAAACTTACTGACCCTAAGAAGTGCTGTTTTGATGTAGTTTCATACAGCTTTGACAGTGTGACTATGAGAGACGGTGGGTGGGAGGGTGTTTTTCTCATTCCACGCTGCACCTATATCGTCTTTCTTTTACTGTCTCTTTGCTCATTAAGCTTCTCTCCTTTTTCTTTTGATCTCTTCTCCATGTTGGAGACAATGTTTATATCTCCACTTAATATGCAGTCGATCAGATTGACCCAGAGGTGTTATTATGATTCACCTACTGCACCAGCTTTTTATTGGGTAAAAAACTCCAAAAAGAAACGACCCTCGGTCGGTTCGGCTTGACAGACCCGCCGTTAGGAAATCCTTTCGAACCTGGTCACCTCACCCCTGCTTTCAAAGCTGGTCCTCTGTCTGTGGGTGGCAGCACATGTGTTCACCTGCCGTTGAGCACTAAGGCTGAGTCGATGGCAGAGTCTGAAGGGCACGGGGTTGATATTTTCACGTGTAACAAGTGGTTGTGCTGAAACCTGCTGGACAGAGCCCTAGGAGAAGGCGCTCAGATGTCATTTAAAGGGCCAGCATGCTTATAAAAATTGTAATGGGGGGTAAAAAGGCGAGAACCCTGCCACAATAGGAAATTATCCTCTATTAGTTCAATTAGTTCTGCTTTTTTGTTTCTAAGCTTGAATAAAAGCCTTTGCTGTGTGTTATTAATTAATATATTTGTTTATTTATGTACATGTGAGTGTAAAGGTTGTACTGATGAAGACTATATAGTTTATATTAGTACAGTTTTCCTTTGGTATTGCTGACAGTAAGCACATTCTCTTCCTCTCTCTGCACTGCAGTCTTTTCTTTCTTTGCTAACCAGCCTTTTGAAAATATTTATCTTGAACAGATCCAGAGCTGTTAGACTCTGCTTGCCAGGTTTAGGAGGTCTAATCATCGTTGTAGTACTCAGTCTAAAATTGGATATATTTACCATTAGAGCTAGCTCACCGTTACCACTTCTAGTTAGATACTTGATGGCTAAATGTGTCTGTAGTTTCTTGAGTGTTGAACGTGACCATTTTGCTCTGATCTTATTGAGGTTAGTCATCATCCATTGTTTTTGCAGGTGACCTTCAGAGAGTGACAGATGTGTGCCACTGAGAACAACCATTTGCATCTCCCTGTGGAGATTTGAGTTCTGGGACGCTCGGGTAGGCCTATTTAAATCTTTTAACTGTACATTATATATTTTACATCATTGTGTAGCACATGTATTAGATTATTTTAGCCTTTTCCTTGTATGCACTTGCTTAAAAGATGCAAGTGCATCTCAATAAGTTGGAATATCACAGAGATGTTGTTAGTTTTAGGAATTCAATAAATCTAATAAATACTGGCAGTCAGGGTAACATTTACCTCAGCGAGTCTCTTAACTTCAACCCCTTTGACCTAAAACGTTGCAAACCATATTAGACCAATAGTCATTTAGCACAATATAACTGCTTCATATGGATCAGTTTGAGAAACATATAGTTACAAAACTCCCCCAAATATCTCTATTGTGCATGAGACATGAATTCATTTATTTTTTCCTCACTAAATGTCACTTTTCAGTCTCTATGGCTATTTCCTTTCATTCATGAGTTCTGCTCATGTTTTGTTTTCCTTTGTTTTTTTAAATCATAGAATGATATTTATATTTTGGAATTCCATTTCGATTTAATCAGTATTGCCTGCAGTCTCTCTGCCGGAGGCAGCAGACATCTTTAATCTGCGTCACATTTTCTGGGCTATATAATAAACTATCACCCATTACTACCCTGACATGTTGTGCCATAAAGTAATGGTGTGCTGGAATCTTGCAGCTTTAAAATGACATTGATAAATACAAGACATGTTTGCTATTGCTATATTCACATCATGTGCTCAGAGTGTCTCCTGTCTGTTACAGCAACTCGATTATCCTTCTCACTACACTGACTGCAGACATTTTTATGAGAATTTGCTACTGAGCTTCTAACCCCCTTAACATAAACACAAGCACTACACCTTCAAACTTATTCAGGTTTGATAAATAGTATTGCATTTGTCTATATTTTCATAGTCTCCTCTAGGTATTTAGCAGTTTGTTGTTATCAGCATTTGTTCTGAGTATCTAGTGACTGAAAACAAACACTTAAAAGTTTGCCCCCTACTGTTCTCCTTTTTTAAGACATACATTTCAAACTGCAAAAGGTTAGTAGATCCACTTTGCTCACGCTATCATCTATCATCATGTCTTTACACAGAGTAACATTGACGGTTATGTTGTAAATGTTAAGATATGTCTTATATTCAGGAGAGAATTATGAGTTCTCCAAGCATAAAAGGTCACTGCTAGATAACCTGGCTTAACACACATTTCTGTATACAAGTATATTATTAGAAAGTTTAGCTGAAGGAAAAAGTGTGGCAGAAAAACTTAGAGAAACGGGCTTAAAAGAAAGAAATATTGACCTTAGCCGTAGCTAGAGACACTCCACAAAAACTTCCACTGTGGAAAAGTTTGTGTTTCTGCAGACTTTTGTTTTACCTCTATGTCCTAGGATAATAACACACAACTGTCTGTGTCTGCTGAGAGGTCACAGGTGACCATATCTGCCAAACCACTTTAAACTGAGGAAGCTTCTGCAAAGGCGACAGTTTAAAGGATAAACACACCAGTTAGTGACTGTAAAAGGAGATCCCATATAATATGGAAGGTATTTGGTCCTATTCGCACAATAGAAGTTATTCAAGCAAATAAGTTTGAGTAAGAATTGATTACAATCATTTAGACTTTGAGTCAAAGTCATGTTGAAAGTTTATAAAAAATTATTTTGATGTAAAGCTGGCAGTTGGTTATAGATTGACTTTTATGTAACTGCGTTTATTCATACTTATTATGATCAAATTAGGAGACACTACGAGTTTGAGCTCTATGGGGGTACAAAATATGAAGACTTTGTAACAAAATAACTTCATTATAACTTATATTTTGTCTTAGATGCCATTTTTTTTAGCTAAAGGCCAACAAAATGTCTTGTAAAATGACCTTTTTACATTTTTACCTCTCTGTTTAAAATATTAGTATTTCATACTTTAGGACACCTCATTCTTTACTTTATGAGAGCGTCCTGCTGCTTTTGTATCTCTGCGTTCTGCTTAGTCTTAAACTAGTGTGATCCTTCAGTGATAATTTGGTGCTAACCAGTGTTTCATGTTTACAGTGATAATTATGGCTGCTGGCAACACTGTTGGCTCCAATTTTACTTCACACAATAGGTCAGAAAAACAACACAAAAAAACATCTGTAACTGAAGTTGGTTCAGGTCTGTCCCTAGCACACATCTGCAGACCCCAGGCTCTACACCCTGACAGACTTGGGAGTTCAGGGTAAAATGAGGCCAAACATCAAGTTCTGGACAGCTGCTCTCTGGCCTGTTGTTCTCTTCTAATTAGAGAAAATTCTGTTTTAAAATGACAAAATAAAAGTTTGATATACATGCAATAGGGTTGTAAATAATAATTGTTTTATATCGATGCATCGATCCAACAGCCGACGATCCGATGCATCGACACGTCCACAAGAGTATCGATTGTTAATTTAACTAATGTTTGCTCCTAGAAGTAATTCTGACTCCGGTGATGCGGTGGCGCTAAACCTATTTTGCCCTCCTACCTCGCTTCCTTTAGCCACTAACCTCTTTCTGCATGCACACACACACACACACACACACTAGCGTAAACCGTAGGCAAGACGGACATGGCGGAGGAAAGAGAAGATAACTTGCACACCCCTTGCGCATTCAAGCTATATGTTTGAAAGTATTTGGGGTTGTGTGAGTGAATAAGGTTTTCATAGGCCTGGGTGAAGTACAACTTTGCAAATTCTGTTATTTGCTGATGTTTCTCAAATAAAATGCATTACGATATTACAGCTTTCATTGATTTATTTCAAAATTAAAACATCGTCTAGCCTGTAAGGTTAAAAAAACAAACAATTAACCAATTAATCAAATCGAATCGTATCATGGTGTATTTTTGAGTATAAAAAATAATCGAATCGTTGGGTCAGGAAATTGATACTGCATCAAATTGCAATGATGGGTGTGATTTACACCCCTAATATGCAAACAAACTGTATAATGTTGTAATTTGATTAATAAAGGAATTTAAATGATTGACACAGAATAACGTTTTAGTGATATCTTCTTATATCTCTGAAACGATGTTTAGTAAAATGTAGTGAGGGGTTAAAGGTCAGCATTCAAACTGAACCACACTGGTGCAGTCTTTCTTAATGGGTGGTTTATTCAAGGGATAGTGCTCATTTTTACGTTATGTTAAAGCACAATGTTGTAAATAAGTAAAATTTGTAGCTCTGGTATATTTTTAATTCAAAACGAAAACCACTAAACAGTTTTGAGAGATTTCTTGATCTGCCTATAATGGGTTCTATGTCAGAGAAAGATTTTAATCCCTAAGTGTTCGAACAGAATGAACAGTAGCTCCTTCTAAATGCGTCTCTAGTTCTCACTGAGAATGATAAGCCTGCGCTGCCGTCCATGAATTTCATCTCCATGCCTCTCTGACAGCTTGATAAGCCAAAGGAAATTAATGAGTCAGCGTTTCATGAAGACCCGAGCCCGCTGACGGCTGATTTAGGAGGGAGGGGCGTTTCATAGGAGAAATTTCACTAGTTCATGTCATCGTCCTCCTTTATGCTTTTCCAGCCCAGCAGCTTCTCTGAGCTTCTTTTGTAACATATTCATGCTTATCTGCACCATGTCGAGTTTTGCATAATTTATTATGTTTTACTTTAAGGTTTTATCTCTGCTGATAGGAAGCACATATGTGTCTAAGAACCCTTTCAGGGCATGTTAAATATTTGCTCTTGGATGTGGATTTGAATTTAGACTCATCCACCCAGTTTATTTGGGAACAAAGGGCAAAGTCTCCTCTAGCAGATGTTAAACCCAGATATATAACCATAACTATTTTACAAGATGAATTACAAAATACATCTCTCCTTTTGGAGAGAAGATTACTCCCAAATCAGACTATTTAACAGTTGGGATCTTTTGTAGGTCACGGACTGACTTTAAAATAAAGTCAAATTGTAAAATATTCTTCGATCTATTAAGTTATTACTGTACATTAACATTAGTTAATTAGAATATCATCGCTAGGGGTGCTGGTGCCTGTATCCAGCTGTCTACAGGCGAGAGGTGGGGTACACCCTGGACAGGTCGCCAGTCCATCGCAGGGGGCATGTTGTATCCAAGTCTATTAATGGGAGTTTAGTGTGAGGAAAATATCTGGTAGAAAGTAGTTCATGAGCAGCAGGAACAACCTTAACATTAAAGAGATTGATGAGGAAAAGCCAGTTTTAGAGTTTGGGCTTTGAGAATCAGCTTAAACAGATGGGGCTGTTTTGGTCATACCCATGCAGCGATTGGACTGGAAGATCATAAGTGAGACAGGAAGTGAGACACATTGGTAAAGTAGAAATAATGTGCTTTGGGGAAAATACAAACTTAAATGTTTTGTGTTTTAGCTATTTTGCTGATTGCAGAGGTAAAACCGATCTTATCTGAGTAAACCACCTTGTGTTTTTGTTTCTTTAATCTGGCTGTTATTGTGTGATCTTAGTATTTTCAGTAGATGGTCTACCTTCTGGTCAGTGGTTGGATCGTCCAGTTGGAGGCTGTTTGTTTTGTAGAAGTTGGATCGCTTTTCTCTCTGTCATTTTAACCATAGATGGTCAGGGATTTATGTTATCTTACTTTAATTCCGCGGTTCTCAAAGTGTGTGGCGCGACCCACTGGTGGGGAATTGAGACGTGACAGGTGGGGCGCGCCAAGTTCCGGTGTGTGTGTGTGTGTGACTATAAATGTAGAATGTGTGAGAGCAAACTGTCCTTATAGCTGTATGTTGCCGCTTTTTAGACCAATCAAACCCACAAAGTAATCATTACTAGCCTACATGCAGTCTAATTAAAAGAACATTAGATATGAGAAAAATTTCACCTGGAACTGAAGTGCCAAAATAATGATTGACGTGACGTCGGCATATTATTTGTAACGGAATAAACTTTCGCGCCCCAGTGTTGCCAACTCAGCGACTTTGTTGCTATATTTTAGACCCCTCCAGCGACTCTTTTTTTAAAAAGCGACTAGCGACAAATCTAGCGACTTTTGGAGACTCTTACGTGAAAGCACGTATCGTTCCTTTTCTTGTCCTCCAGCGGCAGGTGCTGCCGTGGGGCGCCTCCCCCGTCCCAACCCCGTTCTCCCCCGCTATCGCAGGAGTCCCTCTCAGCGCTGCAGAGACACAGCATGTTTACCCTCAGCGTCCAGACTGCAAATAAAGCGCACATGCGCCGGGATTGACGGCGCAGGTTGATCATAAATAACTGAATTTGAAATATTTTATCTTAAATAAATAGGACCAGTTTATTGAAATGACGTCTGACTCCACCCTGAGGCTCAGGTTTAATGCTCAGACTAATAGTGAATTCTGGTTTGGAGTGGAGAGGGAGTTTCCACTCATCGGGCAGAGAGCTGTGTGCATTCTTCTTCCCTTTGCCACATCATATCTCTGTGAGATGGGCTTTTCAACTGTTGCTTCACTGAAAACAAAATACAGATCTCAGCTGAACATTGAGCATGACTTGAGAGTCGCAGTATCAAGCCTGCAACCCTGTTTTGAGAAACTGTGCAATGCAAAACAGGCTCATTGCAGCCACTAATGCAGGGATAAATAGACCTGTATTGCCAGATGGATTTCACTTCTTTTCTTTTATTAACAGATTGCAGAGTGGCACTTTAATTTTTTCTATCTTTGAGCTTGATACAAATTTTTACACAGCTGCATTTTTATTTTCTTTATTTTTGAGCTTGCTGTTATTTGATGTAGATAGTTTGTATTTAGATACTACTTGTTACTTCAATAAAATTGGAAAATTTTAAGATTGTTGCATATTTCATTAGCATTGTGTTGGGGCGATGGGGACAGGCGGGGCTTGAAAATTCCCCCTTGTCCAAAGTGGGGAATGACAGAAAAAGTTTGAGAACCACTGCTTTAATTTAACCCTGTTGATTAAACATTTGAAGCATTTTCCCCTCTTATTTTGCTTATTAAATAAAACCTTTTCAAACAGTTTGTGCATTGCTCCTCTGAGCCTATTTTTCTCCCTGAACTGAATGGTGTTGATTGGGTGAGCATCAATGGCAGGTTATTTTCTATGTACTGGGTCAGACAGTAGCAGAGTCATTCATTAACTTTCACAAACTGTTCCTGAAGCCTCTTGTTTGTTTTTCTGGGTGGTATGACTTTGGAGTTCCTGCTGTCATCTTGTCCTCTGTTCTGACTCGTTCCTCAGCCCACACAGGCTGATATTATTGTAAACTTTCCACGCTTCTCTTCACACCTTCATTTATGAGCATGCCTCTTAATCACTTATTACCCAGATTGGCCAGGCAGGCAGATGTGGTGCATCTGTTCTGAGTGTTGGATGAAACATTAAATCCTCTGACTCATATGCATTGCAGTGAGCCCTCAGAGATTTAGCACATTTTCTGGGATATGGTGATTTGGCTTTAACAAATGAGGCATGCTTTATGTCAGAACCTGAGGTGGGAGTTAGCACTTGGACTGCGTTTGCAGTTTTTCAGTGTCTGAGGCAGGAGTGTAAGTCTTAACTGGCTTGTATTTACCATTTGCTAAAAATGTAAATAAAACACTTTTTAGAATGCTGCTCTGTTGCATGCTGCTGTTAGCCTATTCATTTATTTTGCATTTCTTAAAATTATAGACTTGGTTTTGGTTTCTATTTTGCATCATTATTATTTGTTATTATAGGTAAAAATGGTGTCGTCTTTTATATTTTTTTAAACAACATGAAGTGAAAATGTTTAACAAACAAATAAGATGTATTTGTTGTTCTCGAAATAATGTGGTTATTCATGAATAGCAATGTTCTATTATCTGTGAAATCATTTGTCTGCAGCTCGTAGCCTTTTCTTATATTTATGCTCCCTATCTGGTTTTTGAACTTGGCTATCAGCATTTTATCAACAAGTCAGATTTGTTTTCTATGTTTGAGGAAGAAAAAAATTAAATCATGTTTTTTCCCATCAGCTGATATGAAGTGAACAGCTGCTGCTTACCACTCATCTATGCTAACTCTAGTCAGCCCAGCACTTTATTCAACTTTACTGCTTTGAAAATTTTTAAAACCGCAGTATACTTTGGAATTGATAGTAGAAAGCTCAGATCTCCTTTTTCATCTATAAGAACTGCGGAGCTCCAAGGATAGTCAGAATGTTCTCCATTGACTGTTTCAGAATGGCCACAATTAGCCATTAATGATGCTGATGATGCTCTGGAAAGAGTTTGTCTGAATGCCTTACACTAAACTTAGAAACTCTACATTTGTATATATGCATGGATAAGAAAATGTTTAATTATAATTTTAGATATTGCTCCATTCGTCGACTCTGCTTCTTATTTTGTTTAAATTAGTAATGGCTTCAGTCCAGATTTTACAGGGATGGTTTGTTGATATATTTTCCAAAAACACCGCCTTAAACAGATTGTGCAGTTTTTTTTATGTTTAGCATGTTGTTGCTCAAACAAATATTAGTCTCTGATTTACTAATAGGTGTTTATGAGGAATTTCTTTCCTAGAAACTGCTGGCTTTCAAGACGCTCATTTATGGACCCTAACATGGAAACCGAAAAAAAACTTGTTGAGACTCTTGTGATAAAAGAAGTGTTTTGGTTTTTTTTTGCATTGTGCATTATGTTAGCTTAGTGAAATTCCTGGAAAATTCCTGCTGCACTGAGACGAGTTGGTTCGATTGAAAATTTCCTGAACCTCCTCACATGATTAAATCACGATTCTTTAAATAAAAATAAAATGTAATGTAAAAATAAAATGTAAGCAGATTAATATGTGAAACAGTAATTTCCTGAAAAGTTTGTCTACAATTCTTAATTGAAGGGTCATTTATTTTATTTTTTTGACTAAATAAGTCTTTATCAAAGAAATTAAAATCTTCAAATTTATAATGGAGAACTCATCCTTTCAGAATCAATAAAGATTATGAAACTGGCTTTTTTATATATGTTAAATGTATTGTATCCATACTCTGAAAATAGCCATCCCATACTTAAGCCATAACTGCACTAGAAATTAAACGCATTAAAAAAAAAGACTGGCTGTATAAGAACACCAAAGAGTCTGGATGCGTGAAATATAAAGCAGTAGCTTTGAAAACAGCCATGTACAGATTTGGGTCTAATCAATATTCACACATCGTCAAATGATCCTGTGAACATCTGTGTCAGCCTTTACCTCGTCAGTCCAGCAGTCTACATGAACACAAAGACTCTGGTTTTCCTTTCTAGGTTTTACATTATTTTTATTTGCATTGAAAATAAAGACATTTACTTAGACTTGGACCCAAACCTGGCCAATGATCTTCTATAAACGTCCCATCCATGTGACTGCACATTGAGATGTACAGTTGTGTAACAGTGTGCTGAACATCAAGCCAATACCACCATGACTGTCATTGTTTCCAGAGAATTATTCCTGTCTGGATTTATTTGAAATGATTCATATCATAACAGCTATTATTAGTTGAGAGTTTACATTTATTTACTTTAGTTAATTTTTCAATCATCCATTATTGCTGACTGTAATCACCGTAGGGAGGATTTCCTGTTGTGTGACACTCCTATTTTAATGGCAGATTATCCACCACTAATGGGGACCTGCACATCCTAACTGCAGTCTTTCCCCTATATGAATCTGTCTCCTTAAAAGCCTTTTGATTTTTTCCAAATGAAACTCTGCTTTGTGCCGCATAACAGCTGGATGAGTAAATCAAAACCGTCACCTTGAGTATTGGCTTGGATTGAAAACAATGCGTTGCATCTTCCTCAGTAGGGAAATAAGAGACTAAAATCACAACCACAGCTTGGGCATCCTTTAGACGATGATGTGCAGTATCATCTCTCATATCACCTTCACTCATCCCCTGACTTCATATCCAACCACTGCCTCTCTCTGTCCAGCAGGCTTCCAGGAGGGGGGGTCTCCGAGAAAGATGTTGGGTTCAGAGCGAGGAGTTGTGGAAGAATGGCTCTCCGAATTCAAGGTAAAACCCTCCTCCTCTCTGTGGTGTTTCATGAGTCATGCAGAAATGCATCCTGCAGGCTGTTTCCCACAGAAACCGCGAGCTGTGGATGTTTTAACATATTTTTTATTTTAGTGTTAAGATCTTATCTTGATTGCTTTTAAAGTCGTAGGGAAGTCATATTTAAATTTCAAATCATTCTGGCTTAAACATGTATATAAATGTGCTCTCTATCAGACCATATTGTCCCAAAAGTTAGAAAATTTCTATTTAAAAAGAAATCCTTTCTTAAAATCAGTTTTTTTTTCTCTTTATTCTATGCTGGCCAGTTAGTTATATGTCAGCTTGTACACCTCATCTGTCAATCAAATTTTTTCAATCATTGCATCTTCATTCATATTTCGCCGCTAATATACGCAACGGTTGAAATAAGAAATAAGAATATATTTAATTTACCATTGAGTTACGCCCCAGTGTTCACGGGGATGGACGTCTGTGTCTTCAGCAGGCGTAGTGCTAAAAGAACTGGCAGCGTTACGAGGCAAGGGCTGAAACATGTACAGCTGTAATCCTTCTACACCAAAACAAGCTTCTGCCGTCCTTGCGTCCTCTTCCACAACATCTTCGTACCCGCTTTCCTCCTCTAAATAAAAAATGTATGATCGAGGAGACTCATCTACGACCTCCGACACAAAACTCTCCTCCTCTTGCATGTTTCCGCTGTCCATAGTATTGACAGTGTTGTTTCTAAGTGCTACTTGGTCCCAATGTAATTTCCCTACTAGCACTAAGTTGCTAACTGGTTAGCAAGATGCTTCCTAGACACCAGGCACAACCAAACATGCTTGCGAACCTTTCACCACAACAATCCCGCCCCCTTGATAATCAATCAATCACATTCATTTTATTCACTCGTGTAAAGTTGCGGACCACTCGGGAGAGTTCGGAAACGCAGCGGTTGGAACAGCTGCTTCCCTACGACTTTTTTTATTTTGATTTTTTATTGATCAGCCTGAAATCCAATAAATAAATAAAACGACTGTTATTTATTTTAACATTTATATATCCTGAAGTAATGGTCCTTCTAACAGTTTAAGACCTCAGTTTTTCTTTTCTTTGTGTTTGAGTTTAACTGTAGATGGAAATTAGCACTAGCTGTAATCTTGTATGTTTGGATTCTATTTTTTATTTTCTTTTTAAATTTTAAGAGGTCTGCAGCTGAAGCACAAAATGTAGTTAATTTTTCCTCAAAATTATAAAGCCTTTTTTCACTGCAAACTGTGGTAAAGAGGAAACCTCACTAGTATTGACCAAATATGGAATGATGGGACCCCTGGGGGAAAGTGATCACCATGAGGACAGAACACAACAGGACTTGTCTGCAGTGGTGTCCCTCTGAGAGGCTACCTCTGTGCCTGTCATCTGCAGACAACACTCAGGCTTGACTAGGAGGTTTGCCACCCCAGGATACTCTGTCCCTGAAAGACTCCATCACCCTGTTTAATCTGGAGCTTTTAGGAGCGTTTGTCAAAATCTGTTTAGACTGAGTCATTTCTAAATCTGTCAGGTTTTTTTTTTGCTGCCACTTGAGGGCTTAACAGTCAAAAAGGCATGCCTTAATGTTTATTATCAGAAGTTAATGCTGACACTATGTTTATGGTTGTAGTATTTTAACATTCTGGCTTTATCTAGTTCATTGCTAGGGCATTAAAAAAATACTCAAGTTGCTTTTTATTTACAATATTAAACCACAAGCTTAGTTTTTAAGTCCAATTTGATTTGATGTGATTGGTCAATGCGGTTATTGTTACATTTTTTTATTTTTTATGATTTAGAAAACATTAGATGTTACTGTCAATGTTTGCAATATCAGCACTGAAAGAGATCGCGGGCGCCGGCTACCATTCATTCATCCTGTCCGCTGAACTGCTGCTAGTTTTACTCACATGCCTGGAAGATGTCTAGTGCTACTACCACAGATGATCTCGCCATCGAAACGGAATGATTCAGATTAGCTAGCCATATGAATAGCAGGGGTAGAGCGTAGCCGCCTATGGCCCGGGCTGCCTGTCACAACTCCAGTCCGGCACGCGGATGACGTCATACACGCGCCGCTTTGTTTTAAAAAAATATAACTGCGGATGTTTGGGGGACAGTGATTCACCTACGTTATGAATTCTGGCGTACAATAAAGAAGAAATTATGACCAGTTTAGTTTGTGCCTTCAAGTCGTTGCCCATAGGAAGACGTTACTTTGATATAACCTGACGGAATATTTTCAGACCAGCTCCAAATGACACAAAACTCATATGGGTGAGTAGAACATGGTGTAATAACGTAAAATCAAGGGCCCAATGTAAAAAAATGTTCCCCTTTAACAGAGAGGCTCAGAAAATGGGTAGACCTTAAAAAACAAAGTCATTAAACGTTTTCCCATTGTTCTGAAGCCATATCTTTTGTTTTGATTGTTTTTTAACAAAGGAAAATTCTTTCTACAATCACACTTGCAAATATTTTAGTGTTTGTTTCTACCAACATCTAAAGACTGAAGGCCTTCATTCTTATTTGCAAAACAACTCAAACATAGTCGAAGTAAACCTGTGAACATCAATTTTTAATTCTTGCCATAGTCTTTCATTTGGATTACAGGCTGGTCTTTAATTGTACCATTCTAAAACACAGCTATGATTATTTGAATGAGCCATTGTTTCTCTGTTGTGTTTTTAGAACCTTTGTTCTACTTGAAAATGAACCTCCACCCCAATCTCTGCTCTGGACTTAGCTCTGTCTAGCTTCTCATCAACTCTGACTTAATTCCCTGTCCCTGCTGAAGAAAAGCACCTCAATTGAATGACACTCTAGCTTACATCTTTATGATGTTAACCAGCATAAGCTGCGCTGCTTTTGCAACTCATAGTTCTTTGAGGGTTGGTTGTAGTTTTTGACCCTTAAAGTAAAAACACAAGGCCTTAGTGGAATCAATTGAGTCAAATACATGTTTATGTAATTCTAATCAAAAAATGTATTTCTTCTTCTTCTCTTTTTCTCAGTCCTTACCAGAAACCCGCATCCCCAGCTATGCGGGCAGCCTGCATCTAAAGAAGTCTCTGGTACCAGCGCTCTACAGAGTCATCCAGGACCCCAACAACGAGGTGAAACACACACGTTTTCTTTTTATCTTGCTATGCTGCTTGTGACTCACAGCCTGATGTCTGGGTTGCACTGAGAAACAGAATGACACATCCGTTTCTACAGGATAAACACACACACACTAAAGCCTATCATGTGCCGTTGGTGTGAGTGAGTATGATTAAAGGGCAGAGCGGCAGTGGCTGCAGCTTCATCTGTGAGATGGTACACAGCGTTCCCAGTTTACTGTACGCACACTCAATGGCGCGGTAGGACAGAGACACAGTGGGCTTTGAAAAAACAAACTGATGCTCACACCAGAGAAACTACATAATGAAGTAACACCTTCTGTGGGTCAGGGGGTTTCAGCCTCACCCTGCTGCACATTAAAACCACATTTGTTTGAGGTTTTTGCTGTTTAAAGACCTCGTTGCACCATTTTAGAGAAGAGGTCGGAGGTATTCAGAGAGGCTGGACATTTGTCTGTGCTGCCATTTCCCCCCCTTTTTTCCACAGTCAAACGTAAGAGTCAGGCACCCAGGGATCTAAATTCCATTAGTGCTGTCAGTCTCGCTGCACAATTAATGATGAAACGCCTGATCCAGGACAGCGGACGCGTGTTTATGTATAAGGAAGAGGGTCTGTGTGATAGAAAGGGAGGGAAAGCTGTAACTTCTGCTGATGCCATACAGAGCAAAATCATTGCCAAGTTCATTAATGAGTGCTACTTATTTCTCGGTCACATAAAGCTCCCTGTAAATCCATTATTTAGCTATGATCCCCTCCACCCCCTTAAGCAGGGGTGCTCAAGTCCAGTCCTCAAGAGCTACTATCCAGCAACTTCTTGAAGCAACCATTTTTAACACACCTGAATTAAATGAGCTGAGCTAAATGAGGGGATTGAGGCTTTTGATTCAGGTATGCTAAAGAAGAGATGCATCTAAAAGTTACAGGATGGTAGCTCTTGAGGACTAGACTTGAGCACCCCTGCCCTAAAGGTTCCCTCTATCTGTCCATCCTCCTATATCCAGATCTAATTCATTCATAAGTTTTCGTAAGGGCTGATATTAAACTCTAACATGTATTAAAGAGTAAATGCTTAAGAAGTGAAGTATCTGCAAACTCTGTCACTGTTGTCAATGATTTAATGTTTACATGTATTTATTGAATACATGGTGATCTGTAAAATACTCTCATAGTTCTTAACATAAGATCTCCAGATCTCCGAAAAGTTAGAATTTTATTTTAGGTTTCAGTCCATCCATCATCCACTGTAGAAACTGAAGGATTGTTTGTGATCGTCTGGTATAAATACACAGGAGTGTTGAAAGTCAGATATCTATAAGTTATGAGCTGTTTCGGAGGATTTACATATCTGTTTAACCATTTATCTATTTTTTTTTTTTTTTTGGTTCCTAGCTCCTGGAACCCGTGTGTCACCAGCTCTTTGAGTTGTACCGGAGCTCTGAGGACCGCCTGCGACGTTTCACCCTGCAGTTCCTACCTGAACTTGTGTGGGTTTACCTGCGCGTCACTGCCAGTAGGGATCGCCAGAGCAATGGCTGCATTGAGGCCCTCCTCTTGGGTATCTATAATCTGGTGGGTGCCAGTCCTTCTGTGGTCAGAGTAAGCTGGGTTAAAAGACTGCTGTAGGTTCAGTTACACTCTACAGGTTCATTAATAGATTCTATTAATACGGTGAGGCATATCAAATATCCTTCATAGCTGTAGATGGCTTTGGCTTAAAGATATGGGGTTTTGAGATTTGAAAGAGTACAACTAAATCATTATGTTTACAGTTCAAGTCATGGATTACACACTCATCCTTGGTATTTATCAAATGATTTTGACTGCATATGCAAAGTATATTTTCTGATAGCTTAGATTTGGAAGCAGAAACAGAATTTTCATGTTTTTCCTTAATCATTCATGTATATAGGCTCATATATTTTCATCCAAACTTACTAATACTTGTTTATATGTACCGTATTTTCCAGATTATAAGCTGCTACTTTATTCCCTTGCTTCGAACCATGCAGCCTTTATTAAAGGTGCAGCTTTTTTGTGGATTTTTCTTAACCGCCAGAGGGGGAAGTCAAAGTTGGAGATGAAAGAATAAGGGGCTAATTTTGTTTTAGCACAAGAAAATGCTAGCAGCTGTCACAGCGGAGAACAAATATCCCGAATTCACACATTTTGACATTTATTTGCTGCGTTAAAGCTGCCGAATCCATGAAGAGACTGGGCTCAACTCCCACAGCGCTGAAATAAAGAGCTAACTAAGCCCCATCTTTCAGTAGAAGCTCTGCTGCAAGTCAACAAGCTAACGGGAGTTAGCATTCTTCTTTGTTCCTACTCCAGCCTATATGTAGAGCTCCCCCTACAGGTTTGGTGGGAGACAGTTCAGGAGATATCAGCGGGTTATAGCCCAGTGTGGCTTATATATATGCAAGTTTCCTTTTTTTTTTTTTTTCAAAAAATGTATTGGGTATACCCCTTTATAGTGAGGTGTGCTCTATAGTCTGGAAAATACGGTACCTTTATTAGTTACAGAGGAACCACAGCTTCTGTTGTAGCTCTGACTGAATGCCTCACTGCTGTTTCTTTTAGTTTTATAAACAGTCAGTTTTCCTAAAAGTCACATATGGGGTGAATAAACTTTGTTCCACCCACCTTGTGAAATGCACAAGTGAGTTAAAAACGATCCCAAAGCATAATGCTGCCATCACATGCGACCCCACCTAGTTGGTTGAGTGCTCAGATGCCAAGTGCATCCAGCTTTATCTTGAAAGTTTCTACTTTGGAGCAGGTGTTTTTATTTTTTCCTCTTGTTTCATGTTTACATTAAAAAAACTTCACTTAGAAGACTAAGGTGAAATTTGTGTAGGTTTGTTTTGCTTTGTTCCAAGTATAAATGATCAGTTACCTTTAGAACCAAACAAAGGATGTGAATTTGTCAGGTTTTTTGTGTCAGATTACTTTCAAGGTGACCTGCGAGGAAAACTCTGGTTAATGGATTGTCCAAAAGGGAATTGCATCACCAGGAAACACCCTTGAGGAATTGTGCTAAGAGCAAGAGATACCAAATGTCACATCTCCATGTCAGCCGGCGCTGCTAAGGGGCGCATTCATAAATAATTAATTCCTCTGTGTCTGAATCTCTCAACACACACAGACGTGGAGCAGATGCTCACAGATGTCTCTCCATTGACCAGCAAGTCCAGATAAACAGCCTTGCTCTCAGCAGTTCTCAGATATTTAGAGATAAGCTGTTAGCCAGAGAAGGGCAGAGAGAGTAACCTACAGCCCAGTCAAGGAGAACACGGTAAAATGTTAAAACGATAAAGACCTTACTTCAAAACAATGTTGAGGGGGAACGTAATTAAAAAGACTTAATTCGTAAATGCTAATATCCCTTTGAAGCTGTGGCTCAGAAGAGGCCAAACCTGACTGATGTTTGCACCAAGCTCTTTTCAAAACATTTTTGGGAAATAAGACTGACATTATAGATAACCTCATCTTGTGCATTGACAGAGATCTTTAGCATTCATCTTACATTTCTGCTCATTTGAAGAAGAGACCATCCCAACTCAGACTTTCCTTTTTTTTGTTGCAGGAAATCGTCGACAAAGACGGCAACAGCAAGCTTCTTTCCTTCACAATCCCATCTCTGTCCAAACCATCAGTATATCATGAGGTAAGACTCCAGCTTTTCCTCCTTAAAATGACTTAAATTGTTGGTTGTCAAATAACTCCTAAAGCCTCATAAGCTACGTTTACATGCGCAAAATTTCCCCGATCCGATCCAAACCTTGATTGATCGGAAATTCAAAATCTCCGTTTACATGGACACTAAATGAAATGATCCGATCATGACGTGTGTATACATGTATCAAGCGTTGGATCAGATTAAATCTTTTAAGCATGCGCAGAACTTCCTGACAAACTTGGCAGTTCTGTCTGCGTCTGGTTTTTGGGAGGCCTGACAAACGATGCGCTCGGAGCGAGCGGAAAGAAAAAAGGAGAGAGGAGGAAAAAAGCGCTTGGCAGCGAAATGTCCGAGAGAAAATGTAGAGAATGAGCGATTGAACCAGCGTGGGAGAGCGAGTGGGCTGTGGAGAGGAAGAAGAGGAAGAGGAGGAGGATAAATTCCTGCTTCCTGCAGCTTTAAATTAACTTATAAGTCGGCGTTCCTAGACTCCCCCCGCCATGTTGTTCACAGCGAGAGCGACCGGTGATTTCCTGTTGTTGACAAGGCGGAGAACGTCACGCTGACGTCGCACACATGCGCAGTGAAGATTACTTTACTCTTTAGATCCGAATGGGTGTTTACATGGACGCCAATCGGAATGGCGATCGGCAAAAACCACCTCTCTCATTCGGAATTAAATTTAGATCCGATCGGACCGAATCGGATTAGAATCTTCAGTCTGACATGTTTACATGAAACATTTTTGATCTGATCAGGCCTTCAATCCGATTAGTTGTGTCCATGTAAACGTAGCTATAGAGAGGGATGAACTGTTGGGCCTGGTTGGAGCAAAACATCCTATTGTAGAAGGCTCTGTGTGAAAAACTAGTCTAAACGAGGTTCATGGTCATAACGTGAAACGAGAAGCACATGTTCTCTGTCCCTCTTTTCGTATCTCTTCCTCTCCTTTTACTAAAGTAATGGATTTTAAAAAAAAATGGTACCTTTAGTTGCCCAAGTGCTTTTAATACCTTGGTATCCAGTTTCTAAAATATTACGTTTTTAAGAATGGAATTTAAAGCTTGCTTTTTAGCCTGCTTTCAATCTCAAACTTTGGTAGCTTTATCAGTTAACTGATTGATTCTACTTTTTTATTCTCTATGGCTGTTTCACTCTGAGTGCTTCAGCTGACATATCAGAGAAATTCAATACAGCAAACTTTAACAGAACATGTTGACCTGGAATCATGTAGGACTAATGGCTAAGCTATCTGTCGGCCCAAGGACACAGTGAATGTTTTCGCTAAAGAAGGCATCTGAGTCGTTTTGTGTGTCTTGTGGAACAAGGGCAATCTATTGCTATAGTTACAAGCTTCAGAAGCTCCTCCTCCCACGCTGAAAGAATGAAGCAACAATAGAGGAATGTGGAAACAGATCGAGCATCTGTATGAGTCACAACAAGCCTCCCTGATTACAGCTCTGGTCTGAACAACACGTGCCCTGAAGGCCAGGAATTCATTCGCACGTAACTCATCTTTAATCTGTCGTACAGAATCACCAGATACTCAATGAAACTTCTGCTCTGTATCCTCCTGTATGGAGTGGATTATCGCGCATTTTTATTCGGAGCTACTTTTAGGTTTCACACATTCATCACATGCATATCTTCCTCTTTCCATTGCACTCATAAAGAAATGATTTAATAGCAGGTGATGTTTTTATTTTCCGCTCAGTATTGGGCTTGGTACCACTTGTATACTTTGCAGGTGTCAAAATGCTGCGAAAGGAAGGTCAGATCTATACATGCGTGGTTTGGTTAGTCGTCCCTCCTCACCACCTATAATGTAGAGATAACTCCAAAAGCTATCCTAAATATTTAATTTGAAGTATCTTAGCCTACATTAGTAAGCACATCGTTAAAGCTTGATGGAAACAGGAAGATGACTTAAATGTTTCATGAAGAAATCTGCATAGGAAACAAAGATTGTTGTAAACAGTCTGCTGTAACAGTTGGACAATCAGCACTTTAAGGAAAGACGGTGGGTAGATGAATGAAAGGAAGCACCAAATAATGGTTTAATATGAACATCACCTGGACTATCTTCTATTTGAATGTTTCACTTCCTGTTTATTGCTGGATCATAAAGGGCAACAATGGGGAGACTTAGGCTATTAGGTATTTATTAATATTACCGTCATTTTCAGACTATAAGCCTCGAGTTTTTCCCAATTTTTCGACCTTGCGGCTTATATAACAATGCGGCTTATCTATGGACTTTTACAGCTAACAGCCACTAGGGTAATTGCTAAATCTATGGATTTTACCATCCACCATGTTGACGTCACATTTGCTTCAACACACAAGTACGGTAGCCACGCGCGGGGGAATGCGGAGGTCCTCCGGAAGCAGACTTATACCGCAAGTGGTACGAAACAAAACAACAGCGAGAAAGACGGACATTAAACATAAAATACCTGCGCCGTAACCTCCATTTTCCCTGTTCAGCCTTCTAGTCTGGGGTCCATGGCTCTAACTGAGGGAGCGCTCTGTCAGCATGACCTGATCAGAGTGGTTTACAGCGGCCTGCACCCTCAGAGAGAAACCTTCACAGCACAGAACAGGTGGGAGAAACACGAAAGCAGCTTCTAAGACCAGCAGAAATACAGCTGCAGAATCAGGATGTTTGCTCTTAAACTTGGTTTGTTTTGTTTTTTTGTGCATAAGTTTTTTTTTCCTATGCAAAAAAGGTATTCCCATTAAAATTAACGACCTTTTTAAAATAGAAAAATGATTTAATACATGCTTACTTTATAGAGAAATTCTTTTTACAAAATTAGCTGGGTTACTTTCTTTTTTACCTTATTTTTGGTTGGCTTAGATTAGTTTAATCAAGTTTATATGAGTATTGTGTATTTTAGGTCAACTTTATTTAGTTTATCTTAAGTTTCCTGTGTTGATACTTCATAGGTTGGTTATTCTTAGCTTAATTACCTTTTTTAATCCTAGCTTGATTTAGCTTGCCTAGATTATCCAACCCCAACTTTTGTTTTTTCAACTTATTTTAGTTAAAAGTAGATCAAATTATTAGTTTTATAGATTGTTTAGATTTTTAATGACATATTGGCAAAATGAGCTCACTTACCAAAAGCAGAACTGATTTTAAAGTATTAGTTTACTGCCTTTACTGGCCGCTTTAAGTAACCACATTGCCTTATCAAATAATGTCCAATTTTAGATGTAAATGTTTATATCTTTTAGACGTCTGTGTGTTTTATTTCACCAAGTTGCCTCACAACAAAGTCTCAGACCATATATCATTTAGCCTCTATAGCACCACTCGGTAAAGCTAAGAGCTTTTTTGGCTGTCGGCAGCTTTCTGCTGCTATACATGAATAATAATCTCAATGAAATATACCAGTAATCCTGCCAAAAAAAGAACACTGCTGCATTCAATAAGGCAAAGATGTATTTTTGAATATAAACTGAGTGGCAAACATAAGACTGTCTGTCTAGAGCGTTCCTCCTTGCTTAGTCTTTGCCCATTTCTTTATGCTGAGCCAATAATTGGAACTTGGTGGTTTTCCTTTGGTTTCATGCACCTTATTGTTATTATTGCTTTAGTATCATGATTTTCACCTCATAATGCTTGCTGTCTGCTCAGATATTAAGTAAAGCATCAGCTATGAAGGAGCTTTACACACACTTCTAAAGCATTTGCAGGTTGTTTTTGCTGATTTAAGTTCTAGCTGTTTAATAAAGCAGCAGCCTTGTTTGCACACATGACCTTTGCATTACCTCAGCAGCCAAGCTGCATATTTTTTTTATCTGCATTATCAGATAATACAAAAAATAACTTACAAATAAACACTTCTTTTCTGATTGCTCCTATCTTATTGTTTATTAACATTTGGAGGGAGATATTTAAAATATGGAACTCCTAAAGTAGCAGTTTTAGTGTCCTGAAGGCTCATTAGGTTCACAGTTTCCTGTAGAAACATGGCTACCTGAAATGATTTTAATTGAAATTTAATTACTTTATTTAAGCTTAAGATTTTCCTTGATTGTTGCAGGTTTGAGGTGTTGTGTTTCCTTATGCTCTGCTACAATGCTGCTGTGGTCTACATGCCCCTTTCCTCCTACCAGTCTGTCTGCCGGATGAGCTCAAGGTGAGAAAACCATCTGGAGTCCAACCTTTTCTTGTTCTTTCTGTCCTCAGGTATTAACCTAAGTCCTTCTATTTTTTTATTTTTTATCACATTTTTATTTTGAGTTGAGATTCAGTCTCCTTGAATTCCTGGTAGCCTTTCTTGTTCCCTGATTTCTAGCTGGGCTGGTGGTTGGAAGGTTTGATAAGAGCGACTAGATTTGAGCTGATCAGCTCGTGTAGTCGGCTTAAATAAAAACCAGACTGCAGGAGGCCTGCCTGTCTGTCTCTTCAGGAGCTGCTTTGATGCCCCTGCTTGGTTATTCTGTAGCAGCAGCGTTCAAACATTTCAGGATATGAATCTTAGCCTGCTGTGACGATCAGACCGCGCCTAAAGCAATCTGAGTCTGGACAGATGACAAACTGTGACTGTGAAGATTCAGAGCACAATGCTCTCCTTCTCTGAGTTCTTACAGTTCAGATTCTGTAGCCAGCTATTCTCCTCCACACACCTGGATCGGTTAACAGTAGCGGTTTTCCTCCTAATGTCCATCTGAGACTAGCCTGCTACAGAAGGTAGAGAAAATTAATGAAACTGCTCCGTAACTCATTTAGCATTTCCCTCCTCAGGGTGTGTGTGTGCGGCTTCCCTCGTCAGCAACAGAAGCTCTGGAGAGAACCCTGCAACCGGGTCCTGCTGGACCCAGAGTTCATGGTGCAGATGCTCACTGCCGTTTACCACGCTATGTAAGTATCTTTAAACTCCGCAGTTAACATTGGAATCAGTCATACATGTTGAGGCACAATTTTGCATAAAGCAGCCAAATAGATTTAATACTTACAGTAATTAATAATCGTTTTTGGCTGCCTGGCAACCCAAAAGTCAGTGTTTTGCTCTGTTGGTGCGTGTTAAAACTAAAAAAGTTCTGCTGCAAATACTTTTCTCAACAGCTTATCTACATCAATAGGTTTGTTGTTTGGTGATGAACAAGTAGAGTAAGATTGTTCTTCAGCAATGAAAAAATATTATATTTCTGTTTACATCCATTCTATCAACTAGGCGTGTAAATCACACCCATCATGGCGATTCGATTCAGTGTTGATTTCCTGACCCAACGATTCGATTATTTTTGATACTCAAGAATACACCACGATTCGTTTTGATTAATCGGTTAAATTTTTTTTAATAATTATTTTTTTTTTACATTAAACAAAGTTTAATGTTTTTTTAGAAACAACAGCAAATAACAGAAGTAGAAAAGTTGCATCAAAAAATACTGCAAAAATACTGCACAGAATCATTGCAATGAGTTCAATTCAATACCTCGGCTCCAGAGTGTGGACGTCCCCGCCCCCTTGAGAGACGCTCTGCTGCTCCTCTCCCAAATTGTAGATGACAGCAGACAGTGCCGCAGACAGGAGGCCAGCTTGTTTTGTTTTTATGACCGAAATTGCGGAAAACAACTCGTGAAGTTTGACCAGCTAGAAGAGCGAGGTGTGCGAGAACGCTGGGACCATTTTTCCACCTGGATCTCTGCTCTTTTTGTCCCTCATGTCCCCCCGTCGTCGGACTACACTCGCCCCCACTTCCTCGCCGCCTCGGCCGTATCTAGACCCACAGTGTGTAGCTCAGACCACGCTTCAATATTGAGCATAATTTAAAAATGTGTCTGTGTGAAGCTTACTGCAACACACTGCTGTAAGAGTATAACCAGGAAGCGAGGTAGGAGGGCAAAATAGGTTTAGCGCCACCGCAGCACAGGAGGGAGAATTACGCCCAGGAGCAAATGGATAAAAATAGACCGGAGGAAAAAAACAAACATGAATTGATTATCTTGCGGACGTGTCGATGCATCGGATCGTCGGCTTTTGGATCGATGCATCGATACAAAACGATTATTATTTACACCCCTACTATCAACTATTCCCAGCCCTCTACTCACAAAAGTTTACATTTTATTTTGTCCATCACACCTGATATATTCTTGCAGAATGATCCAGAAAAGATGACTTTGTTGATACAATAATGGAGAAATTAACTTGTTAAAGCAGCTCTTAATAATACGCATGTGTGTTACACATAGTTAAAAAATTTTCAGTGAAACAAAAGGAGGTCCCTTCTCCCTTTCATCATTGAGGAAATCCTTCTCATATTATGTTGGACTATTTATTAATGAAACAATATTGGAAAGATATTCATAGAACACTGCAAGAATGTGTCATGCCCTTTTATATAAAAAAAAACTTTTTGGAAACATCTCAGAATCTTGGATGGAAAATGGTAAATCTCTATTAAAGGTATAGGGGAGGATGTTCTTGTGGGTGGATCATCTAAATAAGTGGTCGTCCTAATTGTCAATCATTCTATTGATATGTTTGGGTAAAGCCATCCTTTTGCTCATCCCCATTTTAACTTACCGGTTATGAGTAGTGGAAAAATTGCAAATCTTGGAAAAATAAGCTCGTATGAGGGATGCAAAAAGCAACTTTTAAACGGAGCATGCACAAGGAGGAATGGGCTCATGCATGCTCTCGTACGCGTTTAATAAACATTCCCTCTCTGGAGTGGGCATGGGGTTGTGCATGTGTACACAGAAGGAATGGGTGATTATTCTCCCTGATCACTCCTGTGGGGTTATTTATTGGGAATAAAAAAAATCAGAGCTGTCTGTATCACTAAAAAATAAAAAATACAAGGATTTAATTTGTCCATGTGTGAATGAGTGGCTCTTCATGCTGTGGCTGGCCCTGGTCCCATCCAGAGCTCCACCCTGCATGGAGGGCAGATCAACTGGAATCTGCAGAAGGACCTTGGCACACACTGAGGACACAGTGGGATTTAGGTTAATATGTTTGCTAATGCTTTGCAACAGTAATGCCACATGAAAAGAGAATGAAAGATCTGCAGGGATATCAGATCATCAGCATTTAAAATAAATGCAACAAGGATTTCTTTCTTAATAAATGAAATTTGTATTCTGGCACCTTTTTAGCTGTGGCTACATCAGACAGTCTGTTCCTATTCATTCCCATTCTTTTTATCTCCAGTCTAAAGGGAGCCCCGTAAGCATCTATTCCTCCCATTGTGAATGTTGCTCATGCAGAAATGGATCAAAGAGTTCAGCTGCTTCATTTTACATGTTTTATTGAAATAATTTCTTTGCTCTCCAATGCAATCATCAGCTCCTTATATGTGCAAAGAACAGTGCTTTATTAGTTTAGCCAGTCAAGAAACTTTATTGAAATTGTATCAAGCAAAGCTTTGTTACTAGGGGTGGAAAAAACGTCACAGGCTGCAACCCTGCTCACCTGTTGAACCCACAGTAAACGGCTAATAATAGTCCAGGGGACGTCAGACCGACATCAAAGTGAACATGTGAAAGTTTCCTTTTTCCTGGATGTTAAAAAGCAGCTTGTTGGTGTTTTTGATTGCAGATACAATGGAGAGTGGGAGATGGGCCAAGAAGCTCTGGAGGACATCGTATACAGAGCCCAGCTAGAGCTCTATTCCCAGCCTCTCCTGGTGAGTCTAACTGGACGATTTTAGATCCTATTCTGACACCTTTATTTTGATTCAAATTGATTCATTTGTCCAATATATTCCAGTTAAGTCAATGTCCGATTTAAATACTACTACAAACCAACGAGTTTAATCCACATTTTAACATATTCAGGTCTAATTCATTTGATACTGCTTGTTAAGTGTTAAAAGCACCCTGGATCAACTGTAATTTGCAGCAATCCCTCATTTCTGATGACATATATGTGGTGTTGGAAAGGAACTAACGTCATTTTAAAGAAAAATATTTAGCTTGGTATTAGCAACCATCTAGAGAATGAGAGGACGTAAGGGAGTCCGAGAATCACTTAGTCAGAAGCACTTTCTAGGGAACAACTAAAGAGAAAACACAAAGTAAATGGCAGCAGAAGACACGGATAAAAACAGACATGGACTCAAGAGTACGTTATATGAAAGGAAAACGGGGAAAAAACTGCTAGAAAGTTAAGGCAGAAGCATAACATTACAGATGCACACAGGATATCTGGGTTAAGAAAACCTTTGGAGAGACAACCTTGTTAAAAAAGTCAATGGTAGAATTTGATTTATCTTGGAAAGAGACACATAACTAAAACCAATAATGGAGGTAAGAGAACCTTCTTTTGGGAATAAAAAAAAACCTTTATGGCAGCAGTATTTCAGTAAATGGCGTTTCAAAGGAAAGTGAGAGAAAACTGATTGCGTTCACCCAACAGCATTTTCTATGGGATTAAGTTAGGTAGAAAACATAATTACTTCTTTTTCTCTGTTAAAAACCCAGCTGCTCACATAAGCAGGCGTAGAGCCAACTCTATTAACGACCTACACAAAGCTAGTGGCAGCTAGTTTCTCTCAAGAAAAATGAATCTGTATAAATAGCGACATAAAGCCTTATTTTGGTATTGTAATGGTTAAAATGTCAATGATGCCTCCCTTTGTCTCAGCTGGGGAACGCCATGAAGAACTCGCTGCCAGAAAGCGCTCCAGAAACACAGCGGGGACGCAAGGTGCTTCAGGTAGAGGTGACGCCAACCATCAGCCGTATATCCATCTCAGCAATCACCACAGCTTCCATACGGCGCCACCGCTGGAAGAGAGAGGGTAAGGCTACAGCCCCAGGAACGCTGTGGAGTAAAGCTACAGTGCAGGAGTAACTTAGCAAGGAAGAGCAGATCTAGCTTTAAAGGAGCACATTTAGTCTTGATGAAGCTGAGCTCATAGTCTGTCGTTGGTTTCTGATCTAAGGAAGGCCGCGTCAAGGAGCTCCTCGGTGAGAAATGACCTTCTTGGTGTTTTTCTTCATCAGAGAGAAAAATAAACCAGTTTCTTCTTTAAGCCGTTCACACCATTAGAATAGTGTGAATGGTGTTTAATGTGCTCATATAGTCTGTGTTGAAGTGCTTGTGCCACTCATCGCTCCCTGTCGCTTTTTTCTGTTTTTTTTTCTTTGCTTATTTGTCTCTTCAGCAAGAACATTTTCTTCTTTACCTCACCAGTAAGCCTTAAGGCTTTGTGGTTAAATACAGTCAACAAAATAGTGCCTGATTATGGAGGTGACTGGGGAGGTAGTTAACTGTAAGAAACACACTTTAGAGATCTGTTAGTTGATGTGTGTCCAGGATGGGAGCCACCTGAGCTGAAGGTTGCTGCTAATAAAGACGCACGTCTCCTCATCTGTGTTGTTGACTCCCAGATTGTTTTGACTACTCAACCGATGCAGAGTTGAGCCTCGCCATCAGTCCTCCTAGCCTCGTCCAGCACCACCTCCACGACCCTCCCAGGGAAACTGCAGCTAAAGAGGATAGAGGAGGGCGGCATCACAGCCACCACAACGGCGGCAGCAGCATCATCCCCCCCATCACACTCGAGGGTAGGGGACAGGGGAGGCCACTCTTAGGATTGAGAGTCTCAGGAAGAGTTGGCCCTCTGGATCTTCCTCCTCCTCCTAATACCCCTCCTCGGCTCAGGGCGGTTAACTATGCCTTTGCTGTTGTTGCTGCCTCCTCACTTCCCCAGAGTATACTAACTCATCCAACCTATCAGACCCTCGGTCAACCAACCTGCTACCTTACTGCTTTCTGCTGCATTTAACTGTGGAAGAGTTGCCTATTCTGGGGTTGCAGGAAGTGTTGCTACTGGCCGTTCTGCATGGGCCATCATCTTCTTCCTCATCATTCCTTCAATTTCAGACCCGTTATCACTCACTGAGCCTGCAGCTCGGCCCGATCCTCAAGGTTCTCTGATAATTGGTCCTCTTAGTAAATATTTTGTTTTCTAATCTGGCACAGAGGCGTTGACATCTTGTGTCTGTGCTTCATCTTGCTGTGTCTGAAAACACCCAAATTCATTGACCGTCAGGCCAGCAGCAGCCATCTGCTGCAGGAAGAGGAATCAGCAGCGACACTCTGCTCATCTTAACATGTCATATCTCTGATCCTCTGCTCAGTGAGTGAGAAAGAGCTCTGCATGCACTCACCTCAGTAATTTCAGCCCAAACATCAAACCTTTGCTAATGTCTTGGCCAAATCAATTAAGATCGACTAATATTTGAAAAAGATCCGCTGAATCCTCTGGCAGGAAGCTACCAACCATTTTGTCTTATCCGTTACGTGTCCATCTTCCTCCCTGGTCTCTTCTAAACCTTGAAACCTCAACCAGACCAGGAACCGACTCATTTTCTCACTCACCCCTTTGTCTGAGCGCCATCTAGTGGTTTTCCAGTGATATTTCACTGAGCTCAGTGCAGCTGTGATAAAAAAAAAAGAAAAAGTTACCAAACATCACTGCAAAAAATATAAATCTCAATAAGTTATTTTTTCTTAAAATAAGTGTGTTTTTCCTTGATTTGAGGAGATAAGTAAGACACTTTGCCAATGGAACAAGACAATTTCCTTTTAAAATAAGAAAAAACTATTTTATCGTCTTATTTCAAGTAAATATTATCTAACTATCTTATTTTAAGAGTGAAAATACTCATTCCATTGGCAAATCATCTTATTTACCTGCTCAAATTAAGGCTAAATATACTTAATTTAAGCCATTTTTTACTTCTTTCTGGATTGTTTTTGCAGTGATGCGGTTGTTTGGAAATCTGATCAGCCACAGTTTGTGTGTAATCACTGGACATTTGCTTGCTTAGAAAAAGCATCCACCGGAGTATGCATTCTATAATTTGGGGCTGCAGTGCTTTCTTGTTGGACTCAATGCACAATTTTGCACGTTTGCCGTACTTTTGTTCTCCATTATGTCATTTGTGTTTTTATTGTACGTCTGCTTATGAACAGACATTAGATTACCATGTCTTCAAAGCAAGCTTAAAGCATATTTAGGTTACTTCATCTGGTCATGAAATCGCTCAGTGAAGGGGGGCTTTGAATTTTTTTTCTCGTCTATGAACAAATTTGATCTCGTTCCTAGCTTCAGTTCTCTGCAAAGGCATTCACAACCCTGGACTGCTTTTTATATTGTGTCAAATCCTGACCACAAGCTTTAGTTTTGTTTTATTAAGAATATGAAATAAAATCCAAAGCAGCCATTTAATGGTAGGCATCACGAGAAGATAGAGTAGTTGATAAGTGGTTCGGTGAGCTTTGGTAAGATGGTTTATGAGGCATATTCAGGTGTTTGAATGATCCGCATGAAGTCAAAACCCAGAATCTGAAGCAAGACGTAAACAATGATATTGATGAATGATCTCAATCAAGTCTGAATAAGTTTTGCGGCGCCATACAGAATCACAGCAATAGATACAGAGGAACTGAATACAAATATGCACTACACTACACTCTAAAAAATCACTTTAAATGGTGATTTGTCTTTCTGGTCTATCACATAAAACCCTGATTATAAATTCATTCAGATTAATATTTTGTTTAAATAAAATAAAAGTCCAAAGGATGTGAATGTGTCTGCAGTGCACTGTAATGAATAAACTAAAAATGGTCTAAAAGAACCATGAAAAAATGATTTTTCACAGCGCTTCCTGTTTCAGGACTGATTCAACACTTGATAACGGGCTACGTTAAACATTAATACATGGTGATTATTACAAAAACCATCAGATATAACCGTCTCCATCTGAAGCCCCAGGATACCGTTGTGAGAGGGAGGGATAAACCTGAATGTTTATGGTGATCATAGAGCCTAGTTCTGCAGAAGCTGCTGCATCGGGTCAGCATGTTCTCCACACAGGGCGGGCTTGGCTCCGCCTGCCAACAACATGGATGGCGTGCTATGGGGGAAAGAAGGGACGGGTCAAGAGAGCATGCATCTTCTCCTCATGTTATCTGCATGTCAATCCAGACCCTTTTTCTTCTCAGCTTTCAGTTTCCTTTGTCCCAGTGATGCATGACAGAGAGAGAGAGAGAGACAGCCGGTCTCCTGTTTGACAGGCTTTACCCTGCATACTGCATCGCCAATAATCTGCTTGGTTTTTCCTATATATTGTTGTTTTTTTGTTTTTTTTTTTTCGTTTTCAGCATTCATTGACGGTCTGTAAAATGGATTATTTATGTTTTACTTCTTAAACATAATTTTAGACGTTTAATTTGAGTGAAACGAGAGGATATAAACTGTAGATCAGATCTGAGCTCAAACAAATATACACCACAAATAAAACAGTTAGTCCTTCTACAATGCCAGAAACTCACGTATTTAGACTGATTTATTAAAAATGATTTTAAAAACAACTGAGGAGGATATAAAATGTGCAAACTCCCCTTTTAATAAAAAAAAAAATGCTTTAACATGAGAAATAAACATTTTAAAGCAATGCTTTGCTATGCTTTTAAACCAACTATTAGCTTAATTTTAGGTCTGTTTAATATTTTTTCAGCTCTGTATACATTTGCTGCATATGGATGCTCCTGCAGGCTTCCCTTAAAAAAAAAAAAAAAAAACTCTGAGATCCCCTAAAATATAAAGGCTCACTAAACTAGAATTTGTTTCTATTCTACAAAACGACTTTGAAACCTGATCAGACATATTTTTGCTTGTTTCCTTGTCTTTACTGCCAACTCAATGGCTGCTCAAAAGGCCTCCTTTAGTCCAAAACATTGAAGGACACTAAAATTTTCAGACAGGCCAGTATCAGTGGTTAAAAGGGTGCTAAACCTAGAAATATTAGGTCTAGCGCCTCCTATGGGCTTAAAATTACACAGTGCTATTTTTACCTGTGTAAACAAAAATTTTATACATTTAAGTTTATTAATCAGGTCATGTTGTGATTGTTTAGGAGAAAAGTTGCTGTTAAAGCAGATTAAACTATTTTGATCCAACATGTTCCATAATGAGAGGTTTGAGGCTTAGACATGATAGATGGGATATATGAGACAGCAACTTGGTTGTACTCCGTTTAGCCTTTCTGTTAGCTGTTGGAGGTGTTGCTCTCGCTGAACCTCTCTGAATGTTTTGGATTCGGTCCGATTTGATTCAAAGCAGCTGAGTAATATTAATTATAAGGAACTTGGTCAAAGTGCTGTTCTAAAGGGCTGTGTATAAACCCTCAGCAGTACGTCGCTGTTAGCTTGTCGCAGGTATGATGAAGATATTTTTGATTTATGTACAGTTTTGAATCGTGGTCTGTGCTATGTAATTCCATGGCACAAGGCAAGAGGGACAATCATGAACTAGCTAGGATTGTGGGTGTCCGCGTGTGGGTTTGACGAGCTTGTTCGCTGTCTACAACCCCTCATCCAACCCCGGACAACGCACAGTTCACCCGTGAGTGTTCCTGAAAGACTGGCCATGTGTTTTGGCTTCGGGTGCAAACCAACAGACCGTCGCACAGAGCTACAAACTAGCATCCTGTATGGTGTCTGGGATAGTCTCCTAGGTGTGCCAGGTGTTTTGGCAGCACTACAGCCAGAGTGTCTGCCATGAGGTACGAAATGGGAAGTATGTATAGTGTATGTAGAGTTGACCAATAAGAAGAGAGTGTCTGTTGAAGCGGGGTGGGGGGGGGGTTAAGACAACCTGGTTACTAAGCATAAACCAGCCTTAACACAGCTATCAGGGGAGATGAGTTCACTGTTCAAAAAAAGTTCAGATTTTTTAGTTTCAGATTGATCAGCAATTTCCTAGAGAGCATCCAGTTTGGCTTTATTTACTGTATATAATCCCTAATTTTGCCCCAGTTGAAACATTTTAACTTTTTCCAATGATTTAATCTCTGATTAAGTTTGTTTTCTCAGCCAAATGAATTAGTAAATTACATTCCTGTCTTTGCATTTGATCATTAATATTAGGAGGGTTTTGACCAGTGAACAAAAAAAAAAAAAAACTATACATAATAAAAGGTGACATTGGTTGTGCTCCAATGTTATTGCTAGGCTTCTGAATTGTATAGTTATGTCCTTAATCAAAACTGTGATTATAGTAAAACTTTCAGCATTAAAGTAGAGGTCGATTAGAGACGTCTTCCTTTCCCAGCTCCTCTCACGATTCTATTTTTTCTCTCCTGTTTTCCTTTCTGCTTCTTGGCTTTTTCCCCCAGATGCTGACGGCATGAGCGGAGGCGAGGATTCCTTCAACATCAACGATCCGGACGAAGGTTTCTCCTCTGGAGCTTCCAACAGCAGCCAGCCCAGCGGCACAAAGACCGGTGGCAGCTTGGGGCAGAGGGGCAGCCTGAACAGCAGCAGCAGCAGCTTCAAGAAAGCCATCACAGCTCGGCTGTCCAGGGACAAGGAGAAGGATCGGGAGAAGGAAAGGGAGAGAGACCGGGAGGTGGAGAAACAGGTGGAACTGTGTGCGGATCAGCAGGCCGCAGGGACGAAGCCTCGCCAGAGGCAGCAGTCCCCCCCAGGAAGCATCAAGCTGGACGCTATCCACCTGAGCCCCATAAAGAAACACCTGAGCTTCCCTGCAGGGCACCCGCTGGTGCGGACTGGAAGCACCTCCTCCAGCAAATCCTTTGACTGCATGAACCTGAACTTGAACGGAGGCGAGGACGAGAGAGAGGAGGCAGCAGGAGGCTCTGACAAGGAGACAGGGCCCTTACTGGGGGGTTCCCTCCGCCATTCCACCGTCAGCCTGCAGGAGGAGCACCTCAACAGGCCGGAGGAGTCCCAGGCCCTCCTGTCTCCTGGAGCTCCTCTCACCAAGCAGTCACGCTCGCCCAGCTTCAACATGCAGATCATATCGCAGGTCTAGAGACATGTTTAGTCACAACCCAAATCAGACAGCACTCTGGTCAGTTTCTGTTAAGGCAGAGGGTAAACAAAGATCTCCAGATCTCTGGAGCTTTGTTTCTCCTCTTCCAACATCAAGAAAGTTGGTTAGTTTCTGAGAAAACATGGAAAGATGTTGACGACTTTTCAATCACTGTAACTTCACTCCCTCCAGACAAGCTGAGCATTCCACATACAAGCTATCCCCAACTGGGAGGTAATAAAAAGAAAAAATATTGCAGATGTAAAGCCTCATAATGTTTCAGATTATTTGAGTTCCTGACTGAATCAGTCAATCAGCAATAACACGTCGCTCATGGGTAGAAAAGAGGGAATCTTTCCCCCTTCTCGTCGCCCTTTCATTCCGGGGCTCTTGTGCAATCATTCTTGCTGATTTCAATCATAAATGGATTTAATGAATCTCATTTCTGTTCATTTTTTAAATCAGTTTAAACAAACACATTTTTAAGATTGTTCTTGAACCAAACTGGAATGTGGTTTTAAAAGTTGTCTTGAACTTTTAACTGGAAAAATCGGAAGAAATCATTCCTGTGCAGCTACGCAAGCAGAGACTGTAGTCTTGTGACTTCATTTTACTTTTGATCTGAATCCTGCAGGTTTTGTGTGCGACACTAAAGACAGCGACTGTATCTTTTCAGTTGGTTTTTACGGTTTCATCTGAAAGGGGCCGCTTTCCTTTCTAAGAGTTGTGGCTCATATTCCGGTTATTTGCTGCCCCCTGGAGGCTTGTAGCAGTCACTGCGTTGCATCGTCACAAGCATTATCTTTTTTTTTGTTCTACCTCATTGTGTGCTGAAATACACGTCTGCCAGTCAGATGGAGGATTTTTTTCCAATGGTTTCTCATTTCAACTAAATGTTTGTAATCATGAGGATTTTTGACTGAATATCTTTCTGTTCCAAGTTCAGCTGCAATATAGGCCAGTTATTTCAGGTGTTTCCTTTGATTATTTTATTGTAATTCCTCTTTTTTTCTTTCTCTCTTTTTTATTTTAAGTGCAATTGTTTTTTCTTTTCTTTTTTGGATCCTTGTGCATGGAGTTCTTCTCTGCTGTAAAATGCCTGCATCTGCGCACAGTGCTTCTCTAGCCTTGTGTAGTGCTTCCTGTCCAAGCGGAGTGATTTCTATTGCTTTTTCTTAACCTGCCGTCTTGTCTCTGCATGTGTATTGCCCTGCAAAGCGCCGCTGTTTCAGATGCATGAAGCAGGCCCGGCGAGCCAAACCCCAATCTTGTCCTCTTCTTAGCCAGATGTGCCATTACGCACCCTTCCCTGTGGGATATATATATATATAAATATATATATATATATATATATATATATATATATATATATATATATATATATATATATATATATATATATATATGGTGTCTTATGTAAAATGCCTGATTGTTTTCTGTTTACTGGTCTTATTTTAAAGTTTGGGTTCAGAGAGTTGACTCGGCGTGCCCCTAGATGCAGCTTCACCTTTATCCTTTTAGTTTTTTTATTGTTATATTTAGAATATCAGACATTTGTCTGTGTCTGTCATTACCAATATGGCTTTGCAAAGGTGTTTTTCGTCCTTGAGCTTTTTTTTCCCATGTTTTGTATCATTACAGACTCATTGATCTGTGTATAAAGGTGAAATGGAAGCAAAACCAAACTGTTTTCAAAAATCCTTACGGTAAAATTTCTTAAATTAGTATGAATCTGAATTTAGTCCCTGCCTTAGTTGGTACTTTTTTAATCTTGTACCATCTTGATGCTGTTAACTGTTGCAAATATGAAGATCTATGTGCATAGAAGCTACATGCATCTAAAGACTGGAAGTTTTTCGATCTTGATCGGGTAGAACAGAGAGCGTCTGTTAAGAGATGTTTTTATATCATGTGCCCCCATCCCCCATTCTAACAGATCTTCAGCTGAAGGTAATAATTTCCATAGCATGACACTGCCACCACCATGTCTCACTTTCAGGGTCATGTAGCCTCACACATTGGTTTGCACATCAGAGCACTACCTATCACAAGCTGGAAATAGGACTTTATAGGTCTAACTATGTGAAATTAATCACTAAAAGGTGCTGACAGATTCCCACACCTGAGCTGTGAATCTCTGCAGATCCGTTGTGGGAGCTTCTTGTGACAAATGTTAAACGACCTGAAGCCTTCACTGGCCAGCTTTATCCAGGTTGATATTAAATTAAATAGATTAGGCACAAATGAGCTGACAGAGTCTGAAAAACCTGTTTGGTTTTCCTTTCACTTCATGACTACTGCTCTACCTTTTGTTGATCTGTCACCTGAAATCTTTCTAATGATTAAAGTTTGTGGTTTTTTAAAAGCGAAAAAGCTCAAGGAGTGCGACGGTTCTGCAAGGAGGTGTATATCTGCTGTGTTGCGTCTCTGCAAGCTGCCGCTCAGCTCCAGACAGGTTATTGTATATAAATCTCTCACATGGACGCTCCTGGTGTGCTTGAAGCCCTCACAGCTGCTCTTCCTCTGTGTGCGCCGTTCCCCCACAGAGCGCATTCAGCTCTGGACTGTTCTTATGGAAGAACAGGACACTGTGCTTTTCTCCTGCGTCGATAAGTTGTACCCCCTCGTGGCGTGTGACCCTCCCCACATTCCCATTTCTTGCTGTATTTTCGCCGTGCGTCCAGTGGCACCTTTATGCTGTTTTTAAAAAACCGGTGATGTGTTCTCGTCTTTCAAGGAGTGCCGAGGTTTACCCACAGTCATGTCGGGGCTGTGTGTTGACTTAGAGTAACAAATATCCCTCAGTGTGTGGTGTTATTTGCATGTGATCAGGGAGGGAAATGAACACCAGCTCAGGACTGTCAATAAAATCCATAAGCTTCAATAAGTCCAGGTGCATCTCCAATAAAAACCTCCTTTCTGTGTTAAAAAAGACTATTTAGTTTATTGACCAGTCGCTATTGCTGGATGACAAAGTTCATTTTCCTCCCTGCATGTGGTAACTGTGGGCTTTGTGTTCATACAGTTAAATGCACTTTAACCCATCCACCTCTCTGAAGATAGTTATTGAGATGAAATATATAGATGTGCAAAACGTGTATACACTCAGTGCAGGGTTGTAGTCTCTTTAAAGTAGTAGTTTTATGGGATTCCTCATCGAGCGAAAGGCTATTTTGGTTTAAGTCTAAGAGTACAGTTATTTATTATATATTTTTTTGTTTCAAAACCAAAAAAAGTTAAAAATAAAAGTTGGTGGGTTTGGAAGGTCTCAGGAGTCTCTAGAAGAAAAAACAAAAAGCCACAATTAAAAAAATAAAAAGCAGCACCAAAATTTCTGTTCTTGACGTCAGAATTTATTCTATGCAACATTTTCCCCCTTTTCCTCAGTTATCCGTTATTTTTATTTATTTAAATTTTTTTTTGGTGTGTTGGCTCTCCCTGATCTGTATCATGTAAGCAAAGAAGCTATGGAGGACCATCCCTGCAGAGAGAAAGGCGCAGCCGGACGGCTGCTGGCGTGTCGGGCCTTTCAGTCTGCCTGCTGCTCTGGTCAGCGTGTAAAACGATTGGTTGTAACGGATCGTGAACAGACGCTTCGGTGAAAGCTGCTGAAACACTGTAGTAATTATGATGTAGAAATTGAGAGAAAAATGATAAGACTTATTTTGAAAAAAAATCTTGTAAATACAAAAAATGTATAAAGGTGAAAGCAAGATAAATATAAAGATAAGTCATATAGACTGAGATGAACCTGTATATTGTTGAATAAATATTGTGCTGTAAAAGAAATGTGTATGTTGGCTTTTTTTGTCAGTGGATAAAAAATTTCCCAATAACATCCATTTTAAACATTTCCAGTTTAGTTTCACTCCATTAAGGATATTTATTGTAAAAAAAAAAAAAAAAAAAAAAGAAGCATTGTCTACATTTATAGGCCCTAAAATACAGAAACATCCTGATAAATTAGAACACCACCTAAAGGTAATGTATAAAAATAAGTAAATTACACACAGAGGTTGTTTTTTTTATTTGGATGTCCATTAAAATATACTTTCAGGAAATGTTTGGTCTTTGCTCTTAAAAAAAATCTGTTTTTATAGATGTGTCTCTTTTAAGAGTTCATAAATATTTTTGAATATTTTGTGTTGATTTGGGATTTTTTATAGTTTTTGAAAAAGTTGCAAAATTAGTTTCTGTTTGGGGTATCTGTGTTTGTTCGCTTTGCATAGAGCCCAAGTTTTATCAGCGATACAAATTCTTAAAGTTCACTCTTTGATACGAAAGCAAAAATTGAGTTAGGACATGTTGCAGCAGGTCCAGGGATGAGGTTTGTTGCAGCAGTGAGTTTTGTTTACTTTGAAAAATCTGTCCCATGTCATCCTATCTAAATAGTATGGACAATTAGCAAATGGATAGTAAATAAATATAAAAAGAATTTCGACAATATTTGGGAGAAAAGAAAGGATGATCCCATGAAAAAAAGTTATGTCCTAAAAACTGGATTCAGATATAACAGAGGCAAAAAGTTTTAGAACAGGCCCCTTTTATTTAAAGTTATTTCTTGCAATTACATTAAAAGTCCAATAAACAGATTTAAAACAATTCAAAGATAAGTGTTGAACTACAAGATGTGAAAAAGTAAGGGACGATGCCATTTTGGCGCCGATACCTTGCTGTGCAGTATCAGCCAAAACCATCTGTTTGAAATTGATGTGTTTGTGTATATATGAAGAACTGCATAGCACTTGGATGTAAAATAATTGCCATCATGGCTTTGTCAAGCTGCTGCCCACCTTTGTGAAGCAGGAAAAAGACAAAAAAAAAGTGAATCCAGTAGAACTTTGTATTGTCTACCTGGAATGGGTGACAATAGTTTATTGAACATTTGGCTCTCAAAATGGCATCGGTGCCCTATTTGTTGGTACTCTCCGATACTGATAACACCATTTTAGTGCTGGATCGGAGCCATTCCCGATACTGGTATCGGTGCAACACTACCTAAAACAGAAAAATAAGAATTTTACATAAAAAACAGAAAACGATTGGGAAATACAAATTTAGTTAATTTAAAACTATCTGTATTAATAAAGGTGGTGCTACTAATTCCTCCAGGTGTTCCAACTTTACAGTTTAAAACCTATTGCATAAAGGCAGCTATTACCCTTGTGAGCATCAGTTTTCCAGTAAGGCACTGCAGAAAGTAGTCTGTTGCTAAACTATTGAAAAAGAGAGAAACAGACCATAACACTCAAAAGTGCAGCTTTTTCTTGTACAGAAGTGGCAAAGAAAAGGTGTCATTGAGCTCAATATTCTTCACCATTGAAGTGCATAGAATCGAGGGAAACTTCAGAAGCGGTCTGACCAAAAGCCATAGTTTCTAAGAGTTAACAGCTTCAGTGGTTGGCGGCTCATCAAGCTGATTAGTGGTCAAAGTAAGAAAGCCACAGGCCCATACCCAAACCGTTCCCACGGATGGTCTGGCACATTGAGGGCTGTCCCAAACGTTTTATTACTTCTTCCTACTCCTTTTCGAACATGATGGTATGTACATATGTTTTTTCATTTTCTTCTTTTTTGTTTTGTTTTATTATGACTTTATTAATTTACTTATATTTGCTTTTTATTAAATGTTCGAAATAAATGATCAATAAATTTTTTTTTAAAAAACTACGTAGTGGGTAGGGTGAGTGGACCTTCCATCCCTTAAATAGCGAGTCTGCATCAGTGCAGGCTTGCTGAAATATAGCAGCAGGTGTAACGACGACCTAATGGCGGAGGAAATACTGGTATAAAGATGTAAGTTCCTCCAGTTTGAATTATTCATTCCAAAAGGGGATCTACTCTTTCAAATTGATTTATTTGACCGTATACATTTTTTTTTAAGACGTAGGGAAGCGGCTTTTTACAACTGTTGCATTTCTAAATTCTCCCAAGTGGTGCACGATTTTACACTAGTGAATAAAGTGAATGTGATTGGTCGATTATCAAAGGGGCAGGATTCTTGTGGCGGAAGGTTCGCAAGCAAGTCTGATTGTGGCCGATGTCTCGGAAGAATCTTACTAACCAGTTAGCAACTTAGTGCTAGTAGGTTTCCAATGGGAAATTACATTGGGACCAAGTAGCACCAAATTGGTGACTTAGAAACGACACTGTGAAGGAACGCTATGGACAACGGAAACATGCAGGAAGAGGAGAGATTTGTGTCGGAGGTCGTGAATGAATCTCCTCCATCATACATTTTTTATTTAGAGGAGGAAAGGAGGGACAAGTTGTTGTGGAAGAGAATGCCAGGATGGCAGAAGCTTCGTTTGGGGTAGAAGGCTGACAGCCGTACATGTTGGAGCCCTTGCCTCGCAAAGCTGCCAGTTCTGTTAGCTCTACGCCTGCTGATGACACAGACGTCCATCCCCAGGAACACTGGGACTGAACTCAATGATAAAGTAAATGATTCTTATTTCTCAACCCTTGCATATATTAGCTGCGACATATGAATGAAGATGCTATGACTGAAAAAAATTGATTGACAGATGACCGTTGATATACGATTGGATGAATTTAGGTGTTTAGGCTGAGGTAAAACTGACTGGCCTGCATAAGATAACAAGAAAAAAAAAAGATTTTTTTTTTTAAATATACATTTTCTAAATTTTGGGACAATATAGTCTGATAAAGAGTACATTTATATACATGTTTAAGCCAGAATGATTTGACATTTAAATATGACTTTAGGAAAGAGGCACATTTTAATAGCATGTCAACCTGCGCCACAGACCTACAGTCCAGAACACGTGGCGTCACTGTTTTCCCATAGCAATGGCTGCTTTCCTTTTCTGTTGGAGGGAAGAGGCTGTCCCATTGTTGTTTATACCACCCCCTTCAACTGAGGCGCCTTTCACAGCTGTGAGTGTGATTTCATTGGGACTGACACTTGATAGTTTAGGAGTAGGGCTTATGAGGGCGGTTTGGCATTGGAACAAAGTTTAAACTGTCAAAAGACTTGAAGCTTCAGGTTAGATAGGACATGTTAAAGCAAGAAGAAATGTATTCATATGCCGTAAGATGAAAAGGCTTGTCTGGGCCATGAATAACCGCTATTGGACAACTCAGGACCGAAAGTATAGTGAAAGCAAAGCGATTTACAGGAGCTGCACATTTATAGGTGCTTCTTTACCAGTTTTGGAAAGCTAAACTCTAAAGGATATTACATTTTTGTTGTAGAAAGAATGACAATATGAGTTTATCTGTTACTTTTGCCAGAAGCGGCCCTGTTGATCAGATTAATTCTTTATTTTTAGTATGTATATTTTGGTCTATAAATTGATTTCATGGTTTCTTTTGCTATCGCTTTAGCTCAAATTAATGTCGCTAATGATTTGCAATATTTCGAAGGAGCCTTAGACTTGTACTGAGTTTGAATTGAGCGCCTATGTCCGCCAAAGGCCAGATTTGTGGGCTGATTACTTCATACGAGGCCTGTTTGGATTAGAAGATTCCTCGTCATGTGGCCGACAAATGCAGCCTTCTTTTTGCATGTTTTAAAGGACAGGTCAGATGTATGTAGTCTTGGATATCCCATGATTCATTGCGAGTCCAAGCAAGCTGGCTGCTCTGTGTTTAGAGGGAAAAGGTAAATCTCACCGAATAGTGGTGAATATTATAAGTTCAGTTTAATATGATACAAGTATGTGAATAGTTTATTTAAATGGTTATTGAGTCAGATTATGTGGCAGGTAATGTTTGGTTTATTGAAAGGTTTTATCTGTCCCTGTGTAAATGGGTTTGGTTGACATTTAAGCACAGATTCCAATATGTCTGCAGCGTGGGAACTCTAAATCTGATATTTGCAATGATGGTACTCCCGCTTAAGCCCCTGGAAAATGTTATTAGCACCCAGAACAGTAGTGAAAAGTTTGGTGTTCATTCTTTGCCTGCTTTTGTGTCAGCTGTCATGGTTGCTAGTGTGACATAGCGTACGTGCGATGAAAGTCAGAGAAGGCTAGACCTGTTTGAATCCATAGCCAAATCCTCCGGCCTCTTTATTTTCACAGACCTCGAAGGATGCACTTCAGGTAGACCGGGTCTTTGGAGGAAGCAGGTGCTGAAATCCATCACACCCTTTGTGTCAACACTTTCTCAAGACAACTCTCTAAAATAATTTACCCCCCTTCTACTGTTTAGTAGTTGTCCTGTCATTATTTTTAATATCTAACTTTACCTTGAGGGCTGAAAGTGTGAGACATTTATGTGAAATTACTCAACTTAAACTTAAATTTCCTAGCTTTTTTTTTGTACTTTATTTTTGATAAGATTTTCCAGAATACAACACCAACACAAAAAAGAGGCAATATAACCATAATAAAATGTGTTAATTAACATGTATAAATAGAGAGGAAAAAAAAAAAGGAAAATAAATAAACAAAATTACAACGAACACAGTTAAAAGCAATCGAAATAAAGAGGTCACCAAGGGAGGGGTACGAAAATACAACACGGAAAAAAATGTAATTATGAACTGTTTTTAGGTGTGTTGGTTACAGAGTATGTAGAGAGCCTTAAAGAGTTAAACAGGTTAGAGTTCCTGTGCAGAATTACCATGTCCTGCCAGACAGTACAGCACCAGACCTCTATTATCACCCCGAATGATGAGTTAATGATCCTCAACTTACTTTAGAATTCCTATAACGTAGCCATTTCAACCAATATTTATGGAATTTGTTTTCCTGGAGTCTTATGGAGAATGTAAGCCTTTCCATTAGGGATGCACGATATAATCGGCCCCCTATCG